GACTGAGGTGATAGGAGAGTGGGCTTGAAGTGGCATTATCGTAATCGCGACTAAACACTTGTCCTTTGGTTTTTGTGATGGTTATTTATTCTTGGGAAATAGGTGTGCTGTTTTCCTGGTTTTTGTCGAATTTGTTTAGGATTGAGACTTTCTAGCTTGAGAATAGCGGTTTTTGCCGGTTTGACGTTCGAGGAAGTGGCAGATGTGAAAGTCCCTAAATAATGTGTAATGTGTTTGCTTGACAGCTTAGTTGTCAACGGCGGGTGACAAGCCATTATTACTTCATTATTGCAGAGAAGCAAATCCCCCTAAATTATTGGTTCCAAATGTACTAGTTCTTTGTCATTTGTGAATGTTTTCAGGCCATTACTTCGGAAATGCGTCTTCACTATTAAATTTTAAGTACATAATTACGACTCTTCCTTAATAGTTTATTCTGACAATATCGCGAACTTGATAAATTAAAAGTCACTAACCAACATCGCTTGTGTTGAAAATTCCTTAATTAACGCTGTCTCTTCTCTTTGGGTGGTTCCAAGTTTGTCTATTTTCTTTCTCTTTTCTACAGTTTAGAGCTCTGATACTTTATATTTGTCCTATCGTCCCCTCTCTCACTCTGTTTTTTTCTCTCTGTCCCTCTTTTTCGCTCATTTATTTCTTCTCTTTCAATGATTTGTTTCCCTCACAATCCCCTATGTCGATCCATCTGTCTCTCTTTTCTCTTTCTTTCTTCTATACCTTCCCTCACTCTCCTCCTTTACTTTTTTTCTTCCTTTTTTTGTTCGATCACTGTTGTTCTTTTTAGGCAGTTTCTTTCTTCTGTGTCTGTCTATCCGTCTAATTTTTCACTTCATTCTCTCCTTATCTTTCTGTCTCTTCTTTTATCTGTTCATCCGGCCCCTTTTATTCCCCTCTTTTTCTCTCTTTCGTTTTTCTTATCAATTTATCTGTTTCTCTTTCCCACTACCTGTCTTTCTCTCTGGGTGTCTCCCTCTCTTCTCCCCCTTTCTTTGCTTTCTCTTCGCCATCTGCTTCCGTCACCCTGTCTAACCTCTCTCTTCTTTCATCTCACTCTCTCATTACATCTTCACCTCTTTTCTTCGATTCATCGGCCTCTTCCCTCCCCCCGCCACTCTCTAAGTCTCTCTCTCTCTCTGGATTCTCTCTAGAAGCTTCCTCTCTTTGGGATTTTTCTGTCTCTCTCTCTGGCAGGATCTCTCTCCCTCTCTATTTGGGGTCTCTCTCTTTCGGACCTCTATCTTCTTTCTCCTCACTCTCTCATTACGTCTCCCCCTCTTTTCTTATCGATTCATCGGCCTCTTCTCTCTCTCCGCATCTTTCTTCAAACTCTCTTTCTCTTTTTTGCATGTCTCTGTCTCTCTTTCTCTCTTCAAGATCTTTCTGTTCTTTTGAGATATTTTCTCTCCTTGGTGTTACTCCCTCTTTGGGATCCTCCTGTTTCTTTGGGATCTTTCTTTCTCCTTGATCTCTTTCTCTCTCTCTCTCTTTGGATCTCCCCCTTGAGATATCTTCTTCTCCTAAGGATCGAAGCCCCCTTTTTTTGGGCTCTCTCTTTCTTTATAATCTCTCTGTCTCTCTCGCAATTTCTCTGGGAGCTTTCTCTCTTTGTGATCTTTCTCTCTGTGTGTGGGAGGATCTCTCTCCCTCTTTGGGGTTTCTCTCTATATATATTAGGATTCTCTCTCCCCCTGATATCTTTCTGTCTTTTAGGATCTCTCTCTCATTCTCACCCTGGAATCTCTCTCTATTTTATTATCGATCAATCTGTCTCTCTTTTCCTCAACCTCTCCTTGTCTCTTGGTATCTCCCTCTGTTCTCTCACTATTTCTTCTTAATTTTCTTTTTTTCTTCTAAGCATCACGCCACCCCGTTCCGTCACTCTCTAATATCTATCTTCTTTCGTCTCACTCTCTCATTACGTCTCCACCTCTCTTCTTTCGATTCATCGGCCTGTTCCCTCTCCCCGCCTCTCACTAACTCTCTTTCTCTCTTTGGTATCTCTCTTTCTCTCTTCAAGATCTTTCCGTTTCTTTGAAATATTTTCTCTCTGTGGTCTTATTCACTCTTTGGGATTCTCCTATTTCTTTGAGATCTTTCTTTCTCCTTGGTCTCTTTCTCTCTCTCTCTCTCTTTGGATCTCCCCCTTGAGATATATTCTTCTCCAATGGATCGGGGCCCCCTCTTTTTGGATTCTCCCTCTCTTGAATAACTCTCTTTCTTTGGAATCTCCCTCTCTTTCTTTCTCTGTGGAATCTCTTTGGGAGCTTTCTCTCTTTGGGATCTTTCTCTCTCTGTGTGAGAGGATCTCTCTACTTCTTTGGGGTCTCTCTCTTTTTCGGGTCTCTCTCTTTAGTATATTTCTGCCTCTTTGGGATCTCTCTCTCTCTCTCTCACGATAGCATCTCTCTCTATTTTCTTATCGATCTATCTGTCTTTCTTTTCCTCAACCTTTTTTTGTCTCTTGGTATTTCCCTCTGTTCTCTCCATATCTATTCTTTATTTTCTTTCTTTCTTTCTCCTTACATCACGCTATCTCGTTTCTGCACTCTCTCTAACCTCTATCTTTTTTCATCTCACTCTGTCATTACATCTCCGCCTCTTTTCTTATCGATTCATCGGCCTCTTCCCTCTCTCCGCCTCTCTCTAACTCTTTTTCTCTCTTTGGCATCTCTCTCTCTCTCTTTCCCTCTTCAGGATTTTTTTCGTTCTTTGGAATGTTTTCTCTCATTAGTCTTTCTTTCTTTTGGGATCCTCCGTTTGTTTGGGATCTTTCTCTCTTTTTGGTATCTTTCTCTTTCTCTCTCTCTCTGGATCTCCCCGTTGAGATAACTCCTTCTCCCAAAGATCGGAGCCCCTTCTTTTTGGGCTCTCTCTTTCTCTTGGATAACTCTCTCTCTCTCTCTCTCTCTCTCTCTCTCGGAGCTTTCTCTCTTTGGAATCTGTCTCTCTCTGTGTGGGAGGGTCTCCCTCCCTCTTTAGGGTCTCTCTATCTCTCCCTATTACAGATCTCTCTCTCTTTCAGATCTCTCTCTTTTCGGGATCTCTCTCTGGGATCTCTCTCTCTCTCTCTCTCTCTATTTTCTTATCGATCTATCTGTCTCTCTTTCCCTCAACCTCTCTTTCTCCCTTGGTTTCTCCCTCTGTTCTCTTCTTATTTCTTCTTTATTTTCTTTCTTTCTTTCTCCTTACATCATGCCAGCTCGTTCCGTCAGTCACTCTAAACTCTATCTTCTTTCATCTCACTCTCTCATTACGTCTCCGCCTCTTTACTTATTGATTCATCGGCCTCTTCCCTCGCCCCGGCTCTTTCTGACTCTTTTTCTCTCTTCGTCTCTCTCTCTCTCTCTCTTCAGGATCTTTCTGTTTCTTTGAGATCTTTTCTCTCCTTAGTCTTTCTTTCTCTTCGTGATCCTCCTGTTCCTTAAGACATCTTTCTTTCTCTTTGGAATCTCAGTCTCCTTCTCTGGGATCTTAATGGGAGAATTCTCTCTTTGGAGTTTCTCTCTCTCTCTCTCTCTTTCTCTCTCTCATCTTTCTTTTTTTTTGGGTTTCTCTCTCTCTCTCTCTCTTCTTCTTTGGGAGCCCTCTCTCTCGCGGATCTCTCACTTTGGTATCTTTCTCTCTTTGGGATCTTTCTCTCTTTCTCTCTCTCTTCTTAAGATTTATCTGTCTCTCTTTCCCTCGACCTCTCTTTCTCTCTCCGTCTGTTCCCTCCCTATCTCTTCTTTATTTTCTTTCTTTCAACTTACCATCCACTTCCCTCACTCTCTCTAACCTCTGTCTCCTTTCATCTGACTCTCTTATTACGTCTCTATCTCTTTTCTTATCGATTAATCGGCCTCTTCTCTCTTCTCCCCTGTCTCCTTCTCTCATTGTCTACCTCTCTTTTCTCTGCTTTCTCTCTTGTGTTGCTCCCGTGTTTGCAAGCTCTCCGCTTCAGTCTCTCTCTCTCTCTCTCTCTCTAACCTCTCTCTTTTTTCTCCATATTTGCTCACAGTCTTTTTTATCGTCTTTATATCTCGCTCTTTGGCCCTCTCTCTCACACTGTGCCCATATCACTCTCTCTCTTTATATTTCTCTTTTTTTCTAATTTCGTTTTTACCATCTGTTCTCTTATCTCTTTCTCGCATATATGATGCTGTTCTTTATTCATCCGCACTCTCTCTACTTCTGTCTTTCTCCTTTCCTCGTTTTTTTTTTGTCTCAATATTATTTTATATTTTTAAGACAGTTAAAATCCCATCGGATTAAATCGTAAATTTTCGAATAGTGTTTTCAGTTCTTTGTCAAAAATTTTGTTAAAATGAAAAAAAAAAATACAGTTTAGTTTCTTTATTATTGTACTTATTTGGTTCCTCTCCACGTATTTATTTTGATTATTGACGAATCCTATATAGTGTTATCTTAATTTAATTGACTTACTTTGATAGTAAAAGAAGTAGTACTTATAATTTACTTTTGTTTCAAAAGCTGTTCCTTTGTTTTCTGATCTTACTTTTTTTATTGTTTTCTTTTTTTATTCAGTTAATACTTATTTATCTATATCCACACATTAATTTCATCCGTGATGGTTATTGTTATTAGTACTCTATGATTAAAGGCTACCTCACGCTGATGCTATTTATGTTCTTAGAAAAGATAATGATCATCGCTGCCTGATCTACCGATTCTTATCAGTTCGATTAATCGTAAACAACGAACAAAGAAATTCGACACTTACTTAAAAAACGAAAACCTCCACGAACATAATAAATAGGAAATCGTAATAATAATTACCGTCGTTATTACAAACAAATCTTTGGACTTGTACCAACAAAATGTTTATTTATAAACGCTTCAATAAACGACGTTATAAAGGTGATTCACTTGAAATTTGAAGTGTGATTCAAAGCTTATTTTTACCAAGAACAATTGTCATCAAAAACAAAACACACTAATTTTCCGCAAACTCCTAAAGTGCATATTCACGAGCAATAACACTAAAATTCCAGCGATGAACTTTTCCGTGCCCCAAGATGACGCAGCAATGCACAAAGATAACAAACTCGAAACATTCAGCATCATGCAGCACTAAAACAAACATAAATGGCAAACAAAAGAACAAAAAAGACAATAAAATCGCATTGATTCGTACGCGGGTCGCTTTGCATCCCACAAAGCAAATCTATTGAAAAACAAGCCGTCGCTGAAGCAACCTCAAGGAGACAACACAAAGAAAACGCCTCCAGCTGACGTCCCCTTACAAAATTGATTCTGACGCACTGCAAAACATGAAAGAAAGGCGAAATAACATCAGAAATTGACAATAAGGGAATGCTTTGTCGGATCGGGATCGCATCATCCAACGTCAGATTAAAATGAGATAATTCGTCTCTTTTCTCGCCAAAAAGTCAAAATCCCAGACCTGACAGCTACATTTTCGGCCCTACAATCCAAATTCCTGTGAAATCCGCCATGAGTTTGAGAGCTCGCCGCGAAGAGGAGAGACAACGCAAGTTGAACGATGAGCTCGACGAAGAAGAGAAGCGCTACAACGCTCAGAAGGAGCGCATTTACGCCCCCGTGGTGTGGCGGCGCCTCGGCTCGGGCATCCGCATTCAGGACCTCAAGTCCAATTATTACGACCGAGTTTTGCAAATAATCCAAGTCGGTTCGAGTACGTGAGAAAACGCGCTTTCACCGGCTCTGCCTTTCAGGAATGCTATTTCCAAGAGGAGGTGTTGAGCCGCAACAGCAACTTCGCTGGAGACCCCGACTCGGTCAAGTCTTTCCTCGACCACGTACTGTCTTACTTGAAGGACCGGAGCTCGATCATTGGACTAGACGAGGGTGAGTTGGCGCTTGTTTAAAAATACAAACAATTTAATTGCTGCCTTCCAGCCAACGAGGACGCAATAGTCGGCTTCCTGGTGCTCAAAGTCATGCACAAGAACGACTACAGCGACGTCTTCAGCCGCGTCATGCCCGTCGAAGGCGACGCCCACAAGAAGTGCGTCAACTTCCTCAACTACATCGCCCGAAAGGCTGACATCTACACCGAATACAACTGCGAGGAATTCCTGCGCTACGTCCTCCTCTGCATCCGTCCCGAGTATCGCAAGCGAGGTAAGTCCGTCTCTTCTCCAGTTAATCCCGGCTTTATCCCTAATCCGGCTTACAGGATTAGGTCTCCAGTTCTACCTAAGCGCCGTGGACGTTGCACGCTCGCTCTCTATCCCAGTCGTGATGGGGATTTTCTCCAGTTGGTCGCAACAAAAACTAGGAAAGAAAATCGGGATGAAAGTAAATCGCTACTAGATTTGCGAGGTAGGCAACCAGCAATACACGCGTGCGTTGCAGGTGTCCTTCGAACTATACTACACAGCATGGAGGGACAAGTTCAACGAGTTGGCGTTCCCGGAACCGGGACAAGGGAATTACACGTGTGCGGTGATGGCAGGCTTCCTGCCGCCGCCCCCGGTGAAAGAACCACCCCCGGTACAAACCGACGAAAAACAAGAGAAACTTACAAGACCAGAAAAGAGAAAAGGAAAGGAGAAGAAGGCGAGGAAGGAACTAGCAAAGCAGCTGAAAGAAAAACCGAGTTCATAGTTCGTCTTTTATTTCGTTCGAGGTACGTATAGGGAGGTTACGCCAAAATTCGGCGCGTTTTTTGAAAAGCCCTTTGTGCATGGAAGCTCCGTCAGAGGAGATGTGGAAGTATTCGAGATCGTCGCCGGTCACGGGAGTCCACTTAGATGGGACAAGGTCGCTCGTAGTAGGGGTTGGATCCCTGAAAAGTACCATGAAAGAGAGGTGTGAGTACCACGTTGTAACGTACCCAGTCAGAGCGAAATTCACCCAAAGCGTGGTCATAATCTCGGCGATTTTTTTATCCTGAGGGGTTTGAGGTTTATCCGGGAAGAGACTTTCAGCCAGAGGGAACAAGTACTGGAGTTCGTCTGCATGACACACCCCGTAGTCCTTTTCCTTGTCGCCGAAGATCTCCGTAAAACTTGAGGGTCCTCGGTGCCCGAAGAGGTAATAGTAGATGGGTTTTTTGCTGTATTTGAGGTAGTACTGGACTGCTTCGTCCGCCCCGTTCAAAAACCACCCGTCGGTGTACATCTACAAGTCAAAACTAGACCCCAAAAGTACTACCGTCACTATCGTGGTACTTACATCTACAACGTCAGGCCTAGAACTTGTGTTGAGTTTGGCACCACCGAAATAGAAGTCGCGGATTCTATCAGTGACCAAACGAACCTGAGGACTGATTTCGTCATACAGCAGCGAAACTGGTACCACCTCGTGGAATTTTTCCTCAAGCTCGTCGATCAAGTGGGGGTTGCCAAAAATCCCAGCCGCTCGCAACGCACCGTCGTTGGTATTCAAACCCACGATCCAGGGTACTTGGGCAAACCGTCCCTCTTTCATACTCTCGATAGGGTGCTCCACCAAAAAGGCACCCTCTAGATTGGGTTCGACGACCGGCTTGAACGGAATCATGGGATCGGTATCCCATTTCTGAAACACTTTCGTTACTGAAGAAACCCAATCGTACTACTAGCGGTACCATGAAGATGTGATCTTTAGCCACTAAATCATAAACCGGGACTTTCCTCAAACACTCAACTAACTCTGAACTAGACTCAGTACTGCATCCGAACTCTTGTGCAAGCATTGTGGCATGCCTGAGGGCTTGTCCGTCCGGAGCGACAGCCCACAGGCAATGCGCAGTACCACTTTGCGAAATCGCAGTGCTGAACAAACCTACAAAAACAATAGAATTTATGTTTTGGTTGAATAATCAAGAGTACCTCTGCTCAAAGGTGACACCATGTGTAACTGGACGCTAGCGCCCCCTGCCGACTCCCCGAAGATGTTGATTTTTTGGGGGTCCCCACCGAACGCGTGCACGTTCTCTTTGACCCACTTCATCGCCAAATTCTGGTCTTTCATTCCGTTGTTCCCCGGTACCACTTCGTCTCCGGTGCTCAGGAAACCCAGCGCTCCTGCAAATCATGTTATAACAACCATTATAAAAATCGAAAGAGTACCTAATCGGTAGTTCGTGACTACGAGTATCACGTCTCGGTCCAGGAGAATATCAGGTCCGTACCAGAAGGAGTTTCCCCCGCCGCACAGCCAGCCGCCTCCGTGGAAGAATACCATGACCGGCAGGGGACTTTGCACCTTGTCGTGGACCTGAGGAAATCCAGCAACCTTGGTTGTGATTGAAGCATAATTACGTGTTTGTTGATGGTTAATAAATAGATTTTGGCGGTATTGAGTACGGTAATTTTTTGCGAAAGGTCGTACCGGTGTTCTAATCGTATTGTATGATTTATTGGTTGAAAATGAGGCCAGCTCGAGTTTTTGCGTTGGGTCGGGTCATTGCTTTCTGTTACTAGCGGTTTGATTTGAATGGTACTTTCGTACTATTGCGTACTGGATTATTCGGATCGAGTATTTTCGCGCCAAAAATGTTAATTTTTGATTCAAAGGTTAACTGCTTGCAAAAAGATGTTTTTCCGCAAATGTGGAGATCGTTTGTTTGTAGACTACAAATTAATTATTAACAGCTTTGAATAACAAATCGAGAATTAATATGAGTGGAATTATTCTTAGTTTGTGAGTGATCAAATCACTGGAAATTAACTGCCATTTAATACCGCCATATACGTACATGTGTTGCATATTTATAGAGTCGTTTTTCACCACAAGAATAGCTGCTATCATAGATTTTTTTTCTGATGCAACAAAATATTATGTAAATTGTTACGTTTGTCGCCGATCGGAGACGTCCGTCATAGTGCGACGAACCAAAAGACCGATTAGAAATAATAAATAATACATGAATTTTTTTGTAAGTGTCGCTTAAAATAAATTTACTTTGGCTGGTTTTGTATGGAAATTGACGCCAGACTAACAAAAGTATAAACAAAATATTCTGCGTTTGTAATTGACTACAATTTACAAAGATTTAAAAAAATTATAGTTAATGTGTCTGTAATTATGGATTATGCTAATATTTATCCAGAGGGTTTCCTTCCGGTTACAGACACTCCATTAAGTTTTATGATATTTAGGGGCAATTAGCGCTTCAGGAGCTCACGACACAATGATAGTTAACGTGTTTTACTGTGCATGAATTGAGACAGAAAGCTAGACTAAAATAGTGCAAATAATAGTTATCCATATCCAATGATAGTTACATTTTTTGTCACCACATTAACTATTACTAATTGTGTCACAGGGCAGTTAATCTGAAAGAAATGTACGCAATTATTGGCAACATTGTAAATATCAGTTATAGTTACGTGTTTTTCTTAATTAGTTAAATATGTTTTACTCGTAAAATATCAATTAAAGGTTTGACTTAAAAACCAGACTTTGAGGCTCCTGAGAAGATTTTACATTTTTAAAACAGACACTCGGTGCCTCCGAGAAGATTTTACATTTTTAAAAGAGACACTTGGCGTCGCCGAGAAGGTTTTACATTTTTAAAATAGATACTTGGCGCCTCCGAGAAGGTTTTACATTTTTAAAAAAGACGCTCGGCGCCTCCGAGAAGGTTTTACATTTTTAAAAAAGACACTCGGCGCCTCCGAGAAGGTTTTACATTTTTAAAAAAGACACTCGGCGCCTCCGAGAAGGTTTTATATTTTTAAAATAGATACTTGGCGCCTCCGAGAAGGTTTTACATTTTCAAAAAAGACAGTTGACACCCCCGAGAAAGTTTCACTTTCTTTAAAAAAGGACAGTTGATCCCCCCTCCCCCCAGAAAGTTCTACATTTTTTAAAAAGACACTTGGCCCCTCTGAGAAGATTTTACATTTTTAAAAAAGACACTCGGTGCCTCCGAGAAGATTTTACATTTTTAAAAGAGACAATTGGCGTCTCCGAGAAGGTTTTACATTTTTAAAAAAGACACTCGGCGCCTCCGAGAAGGTTTTACATTTTAAAAAAAGACACTTGGTGCCTCCGAGAAGGTTTTACATTTTAGAAATAGATACTTGGCGCCTCCGAGAATGTTTTACATTTAAAAAAAATATATTTGGCGCCTCCGAGAAGGTGTTACATTTTTAAAAAAGGGCAGTTGCCCCCTCTTCCCCCCAGAAGGTTCTACATTTCTAAAAAAGACAGGTGGGACTCCAGAGAAGGTTTCATATTAAAAAAAAAACACATTTGAGGCACCCCAGAAAGTTTCACATTTAAACAAAAAGATATTTGGGGCCACCGAGGTTTCATATACTTAAAAAAAAGACAGTTGGGGCCCCCGAGAAGGTTTTACATTTTTGAAAAAGACAGTTGGGATCCCTGAGAAGATTTTACATTTTTAAAAAGAACAGTTTGGACCCCCGAGAAGGTTTCACATTAAAAAAAAGACATTTGGGGGCCCCGAGAAGGTTTTATATTTTAAAAAAAGACACTTGGCGCCTCCGAGAAGGTTTTACATTTTTAAAATAGATACCTGGCGCCTCCGAGAAGGTTTTACATTTTTAAAAAAGACACTCGGCGCCCCCCAGAGAAAGTTTTACATTTTTAAAAAAGACACTCGGCGCCTCCGAGAAGGTTTTACATTTTTAAAAAAGACACTCGGCGCCTCCGAGAAGGTTTTACATTTTTAAAATAGATACTTGACGCCTCCGAGAAGGTTTTACATGTTTGAAAAAGACACTCGGCGCCTCCGAGAAGATTTTACATTTTTAAAAGAGACACTTGGCGCCTCCGAGATGGTTTTACATTTTTAAAATAGATACTTGGCGCCTCCGAGAAGGTTTTACATGTTTAAAAAAGACACTCGGCGCCTCCGAGAAGGTTTTACATGTTTAAAAAAGACACTCGGCGCCTCCGAGAAGATTTTACATTTTTAAAAAAGACATTTGGCGCCTCTGAGAAGGTTTTACATTTTTAAAAAAGACAGTTGGCGCCTCCGAGAATGTTTTACATTAAAAAAAATACTTAGCGCCTCCGAGAAGGTTGACATTTTTAAAAAAGACACTTGGCGCCTCCGAGAAGATTTTACATTTTTAAAAAAGACATTTGGCGCCTCTGAGAAGGTTTTACTTTTTTAAAAAAGACAGTTGGCGCCTCCGAGAATGTTTTACATTAAAAAAAAAATACTTGGCGCCTCCGAGAAGGTTGACATTTTTAAAAAAGACACTTGGCGCCTCCGAGAAGGTTTTACATTTTTAAAAAAGACAGTTGGCACCCCCGAGAAAGTTTCACTTTCTTTAAAAAAGGACAGTTGATCCCCCCTTCCCCCAGAAAGTTCTACATTTTTTAAAAAGACACTTGGCGCCTCCGAGATGGTTTTACATTTTTAAAATAGATACTTGGCGCCTCCGAGAAGGTTTTACATGTTTAAAAAAGACACTCGGCGCCTCCGAGAAGGTTTTACATTTTAAAAAAAGACACTTGGCGCCTCCGAGAATGTTTTACATTTAAAAAAAAAAACTTGGCGCCTCCGAGAAGGTTTTACATTTTTAAAAAAGGACAGTTGCCCCCTCTTCCCCCCAGAAGGTTCTACATTTCTAAAAAAGACAGGTGGGACTCCAGAGAAGGTTTCATATTAAAAAAAAAAACACATTTGAGGCACCCGAGAAAGTTTCACATTTAAAAAAGAAAAGATATTTGGGGCCACCGAGGTTTCATACAGTGGCGAAACCAAAGAATATTTAGGTATAGGCGAACCTTGCGTTGGGCGCCCCTCCCCTACACATAAAAATGCAATTTTACAGAACAGTTTTATTTATATTTTTTAATAAGTATGCAAAACAGATACTATGATAAAATATAAAAAAAAGAAAAAAAATTCGAGATTATACATATGGGTATATAATAATTATAAATCTATAAATATTATATAAGTTCAAAATAAAAATCAACATTAAAAAACCTGTCGCACCGGTTACATGTTTCTGAGCTTCCGTTCAAAATAAAAAAGGATTAATATGACATAATTCTTGGTATAGTTTTGGAAATTTCATTCTACCTTATAAAATTTTATTGACGATAACGAGATGGACAGTAGTACAAAGGTAAGACATATTTATGGCTTACACCAGTTCACTCGAATTTGTCTGAGAATATTTGGCTGGTAGTTGTACTCATAAAATAATGACCATTTCCGTTCATAAGTAACGATGGTTCCAGCCCGGACCTGGATTATTCTGGTTTCTAACATCTGGGGATTACCGGCACGCGACAACTGAAGTTGTAAATATCTCTTGCTATTGTACTACTGTGTGTTTCGTTATTGCCAATAAAATTTTATAGGGTACAATGAAATTTCCAAAACTATACAACATTATTTTTTGACGAATTTGGCGCCCCTTGTCGTTGGCGCCCCTAGGCAAGGGCCTACTCGGCCTATAGCTAGTTTCGGCACTGGTTTCATATACTTAAAAAAAGACAGTTGGGGACCCCGAGAAGGTTTTACATTTTTGAAAAAGACAGTTGGGACCCCTGAGAAGATTTTACATTTTTAAAAAGAACAGTTTGGACCCCCGAGAAGGTTTCACATTAAAAAAAAGACATTTGGGGGCCCCGAGAAGGTTTTACATTTTTTGAAAAGGGCAATAGGGACCCCCGAGAAGGTTTCACATTCTTAAAAAAAAGACAGTTGGGACCCCCGAGAAGGTTTCACATTCTTAAAAAAAAGACAGCTGGGACCCCCGAGAAGATTTTACATTCTTAAAAAAAAATATTTGGAGCCCTCAGATGGTTTCACATATAAAAAAAAGACAGTTGGGAGCACCGAGAAGACTTAATATTCTTAAAAAAAACACTTGGGTCCCCCGACAAGGTTTCACCTTGTTTAAAAAAGAACAGTGCGCCCCCCCGAAAAGGTTTCAGATTGTTAAAAAAAAGATATTTGGTTTCACATTCTTAAAAATAGACAGAACCGTTACTTGACGAAATTTTTAATATTTTGACTATAAGTGAAGAATAAGAGTTAAAAAAGGTCAGCTATCTGAAATTAAATTGACAAGACTGTGAACTATCGAATAGTCATTAGTTAATCCTAGAAATAAAGTCCGTAAACCTTATATTATTCCTGTCCAAAACTTTTAGAACCGCCAATCGATTTTAGATTAGTTAAATGGAAATAACTATTTTATTGATTTACCTGTTGATTTTGCTTAAAATTTAGCAGTTGGTAACTGCTTTGGGTTAACTGTCTGAATAGGAACGTTGCCAAATTTGCGATCAACAAGTGGTGTTTCAATAGCAATGACAACGAGCTATAACTCAACAATAGTTATAGCTACAATTACAAAGGCAGCTGTAGCTAGTCAAACAAAATTAGCTAATGTTTCTACATCACTGTTTCTACGACCAGTTAACTGTCGGTTATTTGTAATTGCAACTGGCAACGTTGCCAATGTCAGTTTTGGTTTTAAGTAGTTCACTTAACTTAAAATGAAAAGTTTTAATCTCCCAACACAATAACAAGTACATTTCCGATATTAACCACAGCATTCTGTTATTTTTTTTTTCGAACAAAGAATCATAGGTTATTAAACCATAATAGCAACTAATGGCTCTTAATTACTTCCCTCACACTTATCACCGCATTAGATACTACAAAATTTCATTGTGAGGATCATTCACCTATCCAGTACTAGAACAATGAAGCTGACGTCACAATGTGGCGTTTGCAAAATTTTAATTTCGCGCGTTTCCTGCGAAAAACGAACTCATTTGTATTTATCTACGACCTAAACATTTAAAATTGTCCTTAATAATAGACCATTTTAATGATGGATTATAATAACCGTAATCTGGTTGTTTCCACCAAATGTGGCCTATTATCAGTTCTGTAATAATAACCCGTTGTTTTAAAATTAAAAGCACGGAAAATAACCGATAATGACACTAATAATTTAAACCATTTTCCTTGTTTATAGCTACAACCTTCGCACAAAATGTTTTTAGCGTTTTATTTAAATTATTATGGACTTGCTATCACAAATGAAACTACAAAGTTTTTTTAACCCAAGATAAGCCAACAATATACAAGATAACCTTAAATAAATTCGGTGCTAATACCAGTGGCGTATCACAAAAAGTGCGTCGAAATAAAGATAAATACCTGCGGAGTGTACACATTTAAGTACAGACAGTCTTCATCCCCTTCAATCAAGGTGGATCTCCTGTAGATATCTCTTTGTGGACAAATGTTGTGAGGTTGAGTCACTTCTTTAACGCCCTCCCAAGGCTCCACAGGCACCGGAGGCTACAAAATTACAAAAAACGTAAAAATCACACTAGGTGCAAAAACCACAGTAAACCTCCTGATTGCATAATCATCCTCTAGCAGCAGAACTTTCAAGCCGCTCTCCTTGAAAAGCGCATTCAGATGCATTTACGTTTTTTGGCGCATTAAAACAACAAACACGTGTTTTACATGTAAACACGACCACAAAACAAGTGAAAGCTCCTAACAAACCCACAAAAAACGAAAGTGCTTCTATTACATAATTCGATTTAGACGTACCTTAAACCTGAGCTCCCCCAGCGGCGGCCTGGCGAACGCTATCCCCTCGAAGGCCCCGAACGTGCGGTTCCCGCGCGTGAACCTCACTCGGCCCCGGAGCCGGCCCTGCAGGGTGGCCACTTCGGGCCCCGAGTCCGCCCCTGCGCCCAAAACGGCCGCGAAAAGCACGAAACCGGTCAAGATCAGCATGGCTTCCGACGTCTTCGGATGATGAGAGCAGTAAACGGCTGGACGCGAGCGTCACTTGTTTAAAGGCGATAGTTAATCACCGAAGTGGGGAAATGTTTCGTAATTAAGTAGGTACGAGACAATTTGAATAAAAGTGGAGTGGAGTAGCCCTGGCTCTAATGAGTTCATTTGCGGCGGCCTCGGGGACTTTACGGTCCATTACGGTTGGGAAAGAGATAGGGTTAAGAAGCTGGGGGACCTTGTTTTTTTGGGTTTGTGTGGAATTGCAAAGGGGGCAACGACTGGCGGAAATGGGGCGATTTGGGTTTAATTGGGCTGTTATGACGTTGAGGGTGGTTGGGGGTGGAACGAAAGGGTGGTGGACAGGTGATTTTAGTAGCGATAGGCAACCAACAATACACGAAAATAAGTCAAGTCGGTGCGGACAAGGTGAAGGATTTTCACGAGTGGTGAGGCGGGATTTCACTTCAGTTTTCCGGGATATTAATAGCGTGATGCTCCATGTTTACACACCACAAAGAGAAAACCCCGCGGTTTTTTATTCAAGTCATGTTCTCAGTAACAATCATGGCTTCTTTCTTCTGAATTGTTATTTATTTAAAATATTTAAATTATTGTACAGAAACCCTTCATACTTATTTATAATAGATGCAACCTTAATAAATATTACATCAGGCGTTACCAACACAAACAAATTTATTTTTACAATAAAATGAATCTGAGGAATTTTAACACACTTCCCAGAGTCTTATCAATTAACTGCACAAGAGTGTATAATTTGTAGTAAAACGCGCACATTTGCATATAAAATATTTCCTTCGTTTTATTACAATAATTCATAACCTTCCATCACAATCAACACAGAGCATTCAAGACACATTAATGTGCAAATTCATGTTGCACAATTTGTTTATTTAGAGATAACACGCCGACTTCCCACTGGTTACATATACATACATCTAATAAATAATCATAATAATCAGAAAAATTATGTACTTATTTAGAGAAATGCTTCGATTACATCAACATTTCCGAAGAATGTCGGTAATTCGCGTTAGATGATATCAGCTGGCAAGCGAGAATTTACGAGATATGTAAATAAACATGAGAACATAAATTATTCTGATGGATATGTGCAGACAGTGGGAATGACTTGGTTTTTCCAGCTGCGTAAATTACGGGTTCAAAGGTGGAACTAGAGCAGGTATTCCTAAATTTTTTTAAGTGCGAAAAAAATGCGGAATCCAGGTTATTAGTGTAGGTATTTCTTGTTTTTTGGGTACGACAAAAAAAAAGTGAATCCAATTCGTCGTCCATTCCAAATTTAATCAGAGTTTAATGAAAAGTTTTTAAATATTTTGCGTTTTTCTCCGCCGTTTGAATAGATAATGGAAAAATAATCGCAGAATTGTAATCTTGAGAAAATTTTGTGTCAAATAGACACCTGGGTTGGTCGATTCGGACCAATTTTAAAAATTCGGAAAAAAAAAGGGGGGCAGACAAATTTGTGCTTTTATGTTGTGCTCTTTGAAGAAATATATAAAAAAAATTGGTCTAAGGTTATTTCGACAGAACTTCTCTCGCTCCTGAACAAATCCAGCTTTTTCGAAAAATTATATGCTTTGAATTTGCAGATTCAATTTTTTTTATGATAAAGTAAATATATGTATGTAATGTTAGTACTATAATAAAATGGTACTCCCGGACCATTGAAAAAATGCAAAAAGAGCTCAAAAATATAAAAAAAACATAATTTTTGTGCACTCCAAAAAGTACCCCCCAAAGACCACCAAAAATTGGGTACACAAAAAATGTTGTTTTTAGATCCTTCAAAATGGCTTTTTACATCTTGATCAGGGTATTTTGTGTATTTGTTAAGATAAGACTGATTTTGGCAAATAACACCCTCTAAAAAAATAGAGGGCGGGTGGGCGGGGCTAGTACTTGCTAAGAAAAAACTGAACAGTATTAACAAAGTGAGGGCAAGAGGGCGGAGCTTAATCTCTTTCACTATCACTTTCTATCTTTCTCTCTCTCGTTGTTTTTCTTTCTCTCGTTTCTGCTTCTTTTCTCTCTCCCTTCAAAACAAATTCAGCTAAAAAATTACACCTCTTTTTTTCTGTCCACTAAACTTTCCTTCACTCTTTTTCCCCTGCTCCTTTACCATTTCTTTTTCGTTCCCTTTTCGCTGTTTACTCTCCTTGACATTTTTTCTATTTCACTCTCTAATTCTTTTTTCTCTCTTTCTTTTCTGTTATTTATCTGTTTCACAATTTAGACAAAAACTCGAGAAAAGTCATTGATTTCCTCTATAAACGAATTTTTGAGTTTATTAGACATTTAAAATTTTTTGATAAAAGGAAAAATTAATCTTCTCATTACAAAAAAAAAAGAAATCATATATGTATTTTTTTGAATGTTGAGATACTGAGGTTGTCGAAGCTAAAAAATAACACTTTCGGATTTTCTAAACAAGACCAGTCTGAAAATTAAAATTACACGTTTTTCATAGTTATTTAATTTTTCAAAAATTCGTCAAAATTTTGTAAATCTTAAAATTTTTAGGTCAATACATTATGGCCGTAAATGCCATAATGTATTTACCTAAACACTATTGACACAAAAAATGAAAGACCTGGTTTGAAATTTCACATTGATTCTCACAAAAGTCGTCAAAATTTTCAAATGGAGATTAACTAATTAAAAAAAAAAATAAAAAAATATCTGTGTTTTCGTCGTAAGCAAGTTATTTCCAGATCACTCACATCTGTAAAACTCAACTCCCACAAAGATATTTTACTATAATAAAAATAAAAGTTCCCCACCCACCCACCCACTTTTAATGCGTCATCTATAACAAAAAAAAAACTTATTTTCATGAAATTTTTCTAAAAAAACTCTTTATCCAGGAAACATATTATAATAACATAATCATTGATTTTCTCTATAATCGAATTTTTTAGTTTATTAGACATTTAAAAATTTTTTGATAAAAGGAAAAATTAATCTTCTCATTACAAAAAAAAAGAAATCGTATATTTCCTTGAATGTTGAGATCCTGAGGTTGTCGAAGCTAAAAAATAACACTTTTGGATTTTCTAAGCAAGATCAGACTGAAAATTAAAATTATACATTATTATCATAATGTATTGACCTAAACACTATTGCCACAAAAAATGAAAGACCTGGTTTGAAATTTCACATTGATTCTCACAAAAATCGTCAAAATTTTCAAATGGAAATTAACGAATTCAAAAATAAAATAAAAAAAGATTTGTATTTTCGTCGTAAGCAAGTTTTTCCAGATCACTCACATCTGTAAAACTCAACTCCCACAAAGATATTTTTCTATAATTAAAATAAAAGTTCCCCACCCACCCACCCATTTTTAAAGCGTCATCTATAACAAAAAAAAACCTATTTCCATTAAAATTTTCTAAAAAAACTATTTTCTTCCTTCCCCTCGCGGTCACTCTCTTTTTTATGGCCCCTTCGCGCACTATCTCTCTTGCTCACCCTTCATCTGGATTAATCCCCTTTTGTCTTCCTTGTTTCACACAGTTCCTATCACTGTTCCCTTTCTCCCTCCCTGTCTCTCCAACTCTACGGCTTCAAATCCCTCTTTTCATTTAAATCCCATGAAAGCAAACCAAAACAGTCTTGAAGAGAATTCTTTACCACTTTCTTCCTTGCTCCCATCTTTTCTTAATTCTCTTCCCTAGCAATAACTTTGTTAAGAATCTTAAATTACCTCAAAAAATACCCAAGAAAATCTTTCAAAGTCTTTTTCTTTTAAACACCCCAACTGGTCTACTTAATTTAAGTCTTGTCACTTATAATTTTTAATCGGTTGTATACCGGTGTCCGGAAAATGGCACTACGCTACGCTTCATTTGCCAAAATCCGTGTTATTTTAGCACGTACTAGCCCCGCCCACCCACCCTCTCTTTTCTTAGAGGGTATGTCATTTGCTAAAATCAGTTTTACCTTAGCAAATACAAGCCCCGCCCACCCGCCCTCTCTTCTCTTAGAGAGTATCTCATCTGCCAAAATCAGTCTTATCTTGGCAGCTACTAGACCCACCCACCCACCCACCCTCTCTTTTCTTAAAGGGTATGTCAATGACTAACTTTTACAAAAAAATGATAAAAATTTGGAATTTTGAACATCTTCTAAGACTTGTAATAGAGATTGTTTCTTGTTCAAATTATCAGTAATAATTTTTAGCTGATTTTAATTTGCATACTTAATTGAATAATCGTCTAAAAAACAGGACCATAAGCACTTATTACACTTAGTGAACGTAAATTTGTCATTTTATAATTTGTTTTTGTAACACAACTTGCTAAAATTGATTTTTTAATTTGATGCTGTTAACCAGTTAAACACAGTCATTATTACTATTATTATAATAGCACGACTATGGTAGAGCCATCTGTTGAGAGAAAATAAAAATACTAAATGTGTAAGGTGGGTTGCATTCTTGAATTATAGAAAATTTATAATTTTAAATGTTAGGACCGTTTGCACCATCTACACATAATACTTAAGGTTCAGTTAAATATGTTAAGTTAAGGTTTAATCATTGCACCACATTCTATACGGTGACAAGGTGAATAAAGTAAAAAACATGGTAATATTTGTCATGACTCAAAATTAAGTTGGCACAAGCTTTTAAATTAAGCACCACACATGATTGGTGGATTACGTGGCACCAAATTCAAAATGTGGTAAAAATCAGCCCAAATGCCTCATCGTCACCAAATTAAATTAAATATTACCACTTGAATGCTACCACTGAGTCGGTTGCCTCTAAGTTCATTAACAGGAATTAATAAAAAACAACTTTTTAAACTCAACTTCACCATTGGCACCCCTGTGCGTCATCTGTTTATATTGACGTGTGACGTTTAATATTCCATGGCCGCTAAAGCAAGGTTAGGTGTCATGTTTCTGTAAATAGTAGTATAGGTACGTGATAGGTACATTCCACAATGCCGAGTTCTCTTCTGTTCGGCATAAACAACGAGGGGCGCGTCCACACCCTCTCCACCACGGGGACGATGTGGCGCGAAATCCCTTACGCCGGTCAAGAATTCAAAAAATTGTCGGCGGTCCCGTACTTTTTATGGGCGTTGGGGGGCGACCACCAGATCTACGTCTACGTACACGGTCTCGACATCCCCATTCGAGTCCGCGAAGAAGCCTACGAGAACGAGGTGAGACGAACGCAAAAGTTTCCGCTTTTTCACCCCCAGGCTTTGTAGAGATGGCTTCCAATCGAAGGCTTCTCATCGCGTCTCTTACCCACAGACCGCTACCGTTTTTCCAATGTCGACGGCACCGTCGATCGCTCAATTGACAAAATTAGATTACCCTCGATGGCGTGGCAGTGGGAGGGCGACTGGCAGCTCGAATTAACCCTCGACGGACAACCTCTGGACCATCAAGGCTGGACGTACGCCGTCGATTTTCCGGCACAGTATTACTCGAAGAAGCAGTGGAAGAGCTGCGTGAGACGAAGACTGTGGGTGCGGTCGCGGAGGTACAGCGCCATGAACTCCTGGTGCGCTATAGCCCCCTTGCACAAGGACGCAACCAGCGTAAGTACTTTACGCTATCCAACGTTGTTTAATTTAATGTTGATTGGTGAAGGAACCCTTCATTGACATCTCCATCGGGGGCCAGAGCGTGGCGGGGGCGGAGCCCGGGACCATGCTCGTGTGGGCCGTCACCTCCCATAATCGCGTCATGTTCCGCACCGGGGTTAGCACCAAGTCGCCCGAAGGCGCCCGCTGGAACCCCATTCCCACGCCCATCGGTAGCGAAATCAACCAGATCAGCGTAGGTCCCACTGGACTGGTGTGGGCGGCGCTTCTCGACGGCCGCGCCCTCGTACGGGTGGGCGTGACCCGCGACAGCCTATCCGGGGAGTCGTGGGTGGAGGTACGCGGCCCCGGCGACAACCTCAAGATCGGGCAGCTGTCCGTGGGCACGTGCGCGGTCTGGGCGGTCACCCAGAACAAGCAAGTGTGGTTCAGGAAGGGCGTGAAGGGGGAGGGCGCCGGTCTCAGCGAGGAGTTGGCTGCCGGCTGCGGATGGGTGGAGATGGTGGGGCGGATGGCGCAGATCAGCGTCGCCGCCAACGACCAGGTGTGGGCCGTGGGGGCGGACGACAGGTTGGTCTACTACCGGAGCGGAGTCGGGGCTTCGGACCTGACGGGGAAGAGGTGGAAGGCGCTGCATGCACCGCTGCAAGTCAGTAGGGCCAGCAGTAACGCTAGCCTTAATAGAGATAAGTTTCATCGCAGCTTTAACGCTTTGGTAAATAACATTTGTGTTGTGTGGGGAGGGGCCGGCGGGAGGTGGGGTAGTTGCCTTTTGGGGCCTAAAGTAGCTTTGTACTTCACGAACGTAAGCCAGGAAAGTATTGCAATCGAGTCTAATCGACGACTGGCTATCTTTGTGTTTTTAGACGTTTCTGACACCTAGAGTACGAAAAAATAGGTCTTCCGTTTCCAAGTTATAAAATCGGGACATTAAATCGAAATATTGTACAGTAAACAGAGGAATTATCGTAGAAAAAACAATAAAAGATAGCATGGTGTAAATATGCTTTAAGTGCTCCTAAAATTACGTTCTAACAGCACCATAAAAGTTTATATGAAGGTGCTAATTAATTTCAATGGACATAGAATTTATGGAAGGTCTTTGTTTATTAACAAGTGCGACCTTCAGGATAATGATTCTCAATTTCATTATATTAAAGTAGTTATTTTGCATGAATCATGATTTTATCCTTTGGAAAATTTGAACGCCATTATACAGCTCGTACACTCACCGCCAAAAATAATGTCAGTGCAGTCATACTCATTTCACGATGTACACCCATGGTGGATAGCAAAATAAATCTAAATAGTCTCAACTATAATTAAAATTTGTTCTAAAATTGTTACTCAACACTTGAACCATTGACGGACATTATTTTTGCTCGTCACTGTACTAAACTAACATTTTAATAAAAATTCCACAAACTTAGAAACATACAAGAAATATCGACAATTTCTTTTATGTTTCTTCTCATAAAACTTTCCATCATGCTTGGAGCATCTTCACACCCCCACTTGTACAAACGCACCCCGCCCGCCCCTCCCCCGACTAACCTGCCCCGCCCTCTTCCAGCAGAGCCGGCCCAGCAGCATGTGCGAGCCGTCCACTATCGCCGAGTGGGAGGAGCAATCCCATTCCGCGCCCACCGCCCCGACGTCCCTCCCCGTCGGCGACCTCGCCTCCAAATTCGAAACCCAGCCCAAGAACCCCAAAGCTTGGAGCCCCGTGCACTCCGTGGGCTCCATCGTCGGGACTGAAGTGCACCCCGAAGTGGACGAGAGCGTGTGGAGCGACGGAAGCCGCGAATCCTGCATTTTCGCCGAGGACGAGGAGCTGGGCTGGGCTGAGTACGAAGCACCGTGGTCGTGGGTGGAAGCGGGGGCGTGCACTGTCGACCCCGCCCAACTTCCTAATTGGTTCGCCGAAGTGGGTGGCGGCAACAATCACACCGAAATGGGCGAGCCGTGGCGGCTGCGCATCCTGGACGACCTGAAGCTGCGGTTGCCTACTAAAGACCTGTACAAGGAGTGGCAGATGGCGGTGGACACGACGTCGTGGGTGCACACCGGGGAGGCGCGAGTGAGCTGGGGGAGTGGCCAATTCGTAGATTGCGTGCTGCAGCTGGAGTGGGTGCAGATCACGGGGACGCTGACGGTGTTGAATCCGGATGGGGCGAGCACGATGGTAAGTAGAGGGGTGGGTGGGCGGGCCTTGATTAATCGTTGGTATAGAATTTGTTTAGTTTGAACGATATCACCTGCGTACAGTGCTGCAGCGAACCTGGAAGTCCACGTCTAGGGATACATGTGCCTAGGCACAGCCCCTCCCTACTGAAGTTCCAGTTTAGTAGCGACGCCCAGTTGGAGGAGTGGCAAGCGCATTTTGCCACCACGTGTGGCCGGTTGCAGCACGTATTGGGTAAACCAAGCGAGGGGAGTGTGTGGGCGGTAACAACTTTAGGAGACGCCTTCATCTGGGACCCCACCCAGCTAGAAAGCAACCAGTTACGAGAGAACGACTACTACGTCCAGAAGTTCGATTTAAGCGGGAAAGAGTCACCCATTAAGGTAGCTCTGCATGGGAGTTTCAAACCAGGCACTTGTTTGACCTTGACGGGGTGCATCGGAGACGACGCCGACCGAATCGGGATCAACTTGGACGCCCACAGCACATACCGATTACGTCACAAGGCGCATAGCGAACACGAAAATACGTGTTTACATTTCAATCCTCGGTTCGTGGAGAGTCACATTGTGCGCAACTCCATGATCGAGGGGAAATGGGGGAAGGAGGAGAAGGAGGGCGACTTACCGCTGAAGCGCGGCCAAGAGTTCGTTCTCCGTATCGAAACCACAGAGGACGCCTTCTTGATCTACATAGACGACAAACTCTTCACCAACTATCGTCATCGGCTCCCCCCTAGTTCTGTGTCGATGTTGAGCATCTGGGGTCGCTTGCAGCCCTTCAAACTCGTGATCAAAAGCCCCGAGATCATCCTCGATCCGTTGAATTTGTACTGGAGGCAAGTGGGCGGGCACTTGAGGCGTGTCGAGAGTTGCCGGGTGGGCGTGACTTGGGCTATCGGGTACGATCATACGGCGTGGGTGTATACGGGTGGGTGGGGCGGCGGCTTTTTAGGGGCGTTGGACAGTCATAACGTGCATCCTATGACTGACTCGCAGGATTACCGCGTCTACGAGAACCAACGGTGGAACCCGGTGACGGGGTATACATCAGCAGGATTACCAACTGATAGATACATGTGGAGCGACGCCACCGGTAAACAGAAGCGAACCCGAGACCAAGTCAAGCTTTTATCAGTCAAGTGGCAATGGGTGTCTGATTGGATGATCGATTTCCACGTCCCGGGTGGGGTGGATCGGGACGGTTGGCAGTACGCGGTGGATTTCCCCGGGACGTACCACGCCCATAAAAACTTCACTGATTACGTGCGTCGCAGGAGGTGGTACCGGAGGTGCGCCGTGGCCACGACGGGTCCGTGGCAGGAGTTGGGACACACTAAACTCATCGACGTGTCACTAGAGCCAGTGAAGGACGACCTCGACAGTATTATATCGGTGTGGGCACTAGCGTCAGGGGGGCAAGCTATGGTACGGACCGGAGTGACCCGGTCCAACCCGGCAGGGTTAGGGTGGGAGCACGTGAGTTCGGACCAACCCTTGGGTAGCATCAGCTGCGGGCCCTACAATTTGGTGTGGGCGACGGGCAAAAAGGGGTGCGCGTATTGGAGGATAGGCATTACGGAGAACAAGCTGGAAGGGGAGAGGTGGGTGTGCGTGGAACCGCCGAACGGCGGCCAGTTGAAACAGATTTCGGTGAACGTGATTGGAGTGTGGGCTGTGGATCACATGGGCCGGATACATGTGAGGAAGGAGGTCACCACGACGTTTCCCGAGGGGACGCACTGGCAGACCATCACGCCAGATCCGCTGGTTCTGAGTGAGTGTTGGTGGTAGAGTGTGTTCGAAAATTCAAGGGGGGTTTCAGATGCGGCACCCAATACTACTGGATTTAAACATGTGAGTGTGGGGCGTAATGAGGTTTGGGCAGCTACGAATGGTGGCGCTATACTACGAAGGGCCGGGATTTGCCCCAGCAACCCCGCCGGGTCAGGGTGGTTCGTTGGCATTCCGGTGAGTGTGGGGTTGGAGCAGGGATTTTTGAAAACTCACCAATATTACGTCAAACAATTTTTATTTGCTTGTTTGAACATGGCCCACTAAAATCTGGCATTGCATTTGATTCAAGTGTTGTGATGTAATGTTGGTTGCATACTTCCGATATTTGTTAATGTAAATGTTACAGCTAATATCCGAAATCCGTTATTATGCATAATAACTAGACATTTTAGGAATTATGCGTAATAACTAAACTTATCAGTTATTATGCATAATAACTGGAAACATTAGGAATTATGCGTAATAACTGAAATTTTCAGTTATTATGCATAATAACGGAAACGTTTAGGTAATATTGATAATAACTAATAAAGGAACAGGAATTATGCATAATATTTTCCAAAAAGCTACCCACCCTGCCTCGCTTTCCCCTACATATCACATGTACAGTTGATTTAAAAAAAAAGGGACAAATTACAGTTATATAAACGTCATATTCCCATTGCTTTTCATTGATTTATGAGAACCTGAATTGCTCATCTTGTCCCGTTTTCTTGAAATCAGCTGGACATATTATAGACCAGTGCCGAAGCATTTGAAAATGGTAATAAGTGAAAAAAAATTAGAACAGGATGATACCCATTGGAAAAGGAAGAAAATATAACAAAAATAAAGGAAAACATTATTTACGGGCGCTCTGAGATCCGAAAGGGGAAGAGGGTGAGCTTTTAAGGGTAGAAAACGGTTTATCACGATTTCCGACAAAACTAAGTCCTGTCGCAAAAAGTTAAATGGCAAAGTTGTAGGTAATGAAAAGATTTACAACTTTTGTATTTACACTTTCCTTACATAACCTCAAAATTTATGCGAAAAATGCAAATAACCGAGTTTTTGGTTTTTATTTTTATCTCCCACAAAAAATTTTTTTTTAACGAAATTTGGTGAAAACTTTATGTCCCAAACTCACTGTAATTTTTTTTATTCAAAATATTTATTTTTTTCCCTTATTTTGATTTAATATCGAAAAACCACCCTAATTTTCAATCGAAAATTCTCACGTCAAAATATTTGCTTTTTTTAAAAATCGGTGTGCTTTTTGTTCGCTGAAATCTCTACTTTCTGAAGGTGTAAAAAAATTATACATTACTATGGGAAATTTTCACAGGAAATCGGAAACTTGACGACTGCATGCCTATTGTGTTTTTTTTTCTCATTACATTTTTGTAGTGGGAATTTAAAACAAAATTGTGATGACGTCATCAACATTTTTGCAAGGACACGTATATCAGTTGGGATAGATGTAGTGTAATACTAAGAATAAAATTATTGTATTCCCAAATTTTCGGGAAAATGAATTGGGTCGTTTTGAATATTGATTTCTTATAATCAATAAAATAACGAAACAATTTACTCAGGTATACGGCGCCTTTTTTTGAACCACCTCTTAAGAAAATCTAAAAAATATGAATGGAATGATATATCACAAGTACAAACTCATCATATTTTTTGCATTTTAGATAGGATTTATTCAGCAAAATTTAAGGGTGACGTCATCAATTTTTTTAGGAGGGATGAACAAATACATTTTGAACAAAAGTTTACCATGCTTATAATAACTTTAAAATATTCCCAAGATTTCAAAGCATTCGGTTTTGTAATTCCTGATTAAATCGATAAAATAAATTCACGCCTTCATTAATTTTTTTGAGTCACCCTGCATATGCAAATCCAAAAATATGAATGGAATGATAAATCACAAGTACAGACTCATCATATTTTGTACAATTTAGATACGATTTATTCGGCAAACTTTTGAGCTGACGTCATCAGTTTTTTGTAGAAGATAACCAAATATATTTTGACTAAAAATTTATTATGCTCTTTGTAACCTTAAAACATCTGCAAGATTTCAAAGCATTGGGTTTTGTAGTTCCTGATTAAATCAATAAAATAAATTTACGCATTCATTAATTTTTTTGAGTCACCCTGTATATGCAAATCGAAAAAACTTGAATGGAATGATAAATCACAAGAAGAGACTCACCATATTTTGTACATTTTAGATAGGATTTATTCAGCAAAATTTTGTGGTGACGTCATAAATTTTTTAGGGGGGACGACCAAATACATATTGATCAAAAATTTACCATGCTTATGATAATTTTAAAATATCTTCAAGATTTCGAAGCATTCGGTTTTGTAGTTCCTGAGTAAATCAGTAAAATAAATTTACGCTTTCATTTATTTTCTTGAATCACCCTGTATATGCAAATCCAAAAAATATGAATAGAGTGATAGATCACAAGTACAGACTGATCATATTTTGTACATTTTAGATATGATTTATTCGGCAAATTTTCGAGCTGACGTCATCAAGTTTTTGGAGGGGATAAGCAAATATATTTTGACTAAACATTTATTATGCTCTTTATAACCTTAAAACATCTGCAAGATGTCAGAGCATTCGGTTTTGTAGTTTCTGAGTAAATCAGTAAAATAAATTTACGCATTCATTAATTTTTTTGAGTCACCCTGTATATGCAAATCCAAAAAATATGAATGGAGTGATAGATCACAAGTACAGACTCATCATATTTTGTACATTTTAGATATGATTTATTCCACAAACTTTCGAGCTGACGTCATCAAGTTTTTGGAGGGGATAAGCAAATATATTTTGACTAAACATTTATTATGCTCTTTATGACCTTAAAACATCTGCAAGATTTCAGAGCATTAGGTTTTGTAGTTCCTGATTAAATCAATAAAATATATTTACGCATTCATTAATTTTTTTGAGTCACCCTGTATATGCAAATCCAAAAAATATGAATGGAGTGATAAATTACAAGTACAGACTCATCATATTTTTACAGTTTAGATAGGATTTATTCGGCAAACTTTCGAGCTGACGTCATCAATTTTTTGGAGGGGATAAGCAAATATATTTTGACTAAACATTTATTATGCTCTTTATAACCTTAAAACATCTGCAAGATTTCAAAGCATTCGGTTTTGTAGTTTCTGAGTAAATCAGTAAAATAAATTTACGCATTCATTAATTTTTTTGAGTCACCCTGTATATGCAAATCCAAAAAATATGAATGGAGTGATAGATCACAAGTACAGACTCATCATATTTTGTACATTTTAGATATGATTTATTCCACAAACTTTCGAGCTGACGTCATCAAGTTTTTGGAGGGGATAAGCAAATATTTTTTGACTAAAAATTTATTATGCTCTTTATAGCCTTAAAACATCTGCAACATTTCAAAGCATTCTGGTTAGCAGATTAAAAATTAAATTTCAAAATGTTGTTTTATAATTTTGATTTTTTTTCCAAAAATCTGGACGTTTCGGGTGAAAAGTCGATTCAGAGTTGTAAACTACATGTGTAGGACTATGTTATTTTATACAATTGAAAACCCATTTACTATGTACAATTTTGAAGTGACGTCATCGCATTAGTGGTGGGGATGATTAGACAAATTTTGGTTAGCGTTTTACCATCTACATGATATTCTTAATATAAGTACAAAATTTCACAACAATCGGTCGAGTACTTTCGGAGATTATCTGTCTAATAAAAATCCGGGACGGCAGACGGACGGACAGACGGACGGACAGACGGACGTACAGACGGACAGACGGACAGACGGACAGATGGACAGACGGACAGACGGACAGACAGACGGAAATGGGAGACCTATTTCTTCGTCTTCTAGGGGTCATGAAAGATCGAGAAAACGTAAAAGTAGAGAGTCGACCGACGGACTCGATTACAATACTTCCTTTGCTTACGCTCGGGAAGTAAAAACGAAAAAACTCGAATTCAAAAATTTGTGTTTTAATTGTTATGTAAAATTTGGAGCTATTTATTAAAATGTACACGTTAATTACTCGAAAAATGTAATATTCCATGTTACATTGATAAATAAAAAAATTGCAAATCGAAATATACTAGGAGTACTATAATTAACAACCAAATAAGTTAATACACTTAATACTTTATAAGACATCTACAATATTTTGTTAAAGTTGTAGGATAATTTTTAAATTATATCCATAGGTGCCTATTTTTTGCTATTTTAAGATAACTTACATACCTGAATGGCCTACGGAAAATTTTAGCCCATCAGAAGAATGAACACATCGTCTATAAAAATACACGTGCAGGCTGAGTTACTTGAAGAGAATCGTGACGAATTGACTTATTTAAAAAAAACTTTTGGAATCTACAGTCACAAGTCCTGTAAACAAGCAGAAGAAGATGCTGATGCTGACATAATTAAAATCGATAGAAACTGCCAGAGATACTAATAAAATTGTCATAGTTGTGGGTCAAGATATTTTGGTCCTTTTGAATCAATTGAATTCAAATAATTATGACATTTATTTTCTCAAACCAAGTTCTAGAAATGTAAAAGATCTATTTTTCACGTCCAATAGTTTCAAATATGAATCTTTCAAAAATATCGTTGCATTTCTGTATTGTTTTTCTAGTTGGGATACAACGTCTGGGTTTGCCGGAAAAGGAAAGAAAAACATTGTAAATTCATTGTCGTCTAATATATAAAATTCTCGTGTCACAGTGTGTGTAACCAAACTCTTCCGAAACGGTTTGACTGATTTTTATGAAATTTTATGTCTATATTCGGTAGGTCTGAGAATAGGTCGCAAACTATTTTTATAACCCTTTTTTTTTGTTATTTTTCGGACAAAATTTGTTATTTTTATTTTTTTAAGACTTGGCTTCAAAAAATACATATAACCCTAAATTTTCACCCTTCAACCACCAACCCCCATTTTGTAGTAACGATATTAGATATTATTCAAATTTCTAAGATTGCCTGTATGGTGTAAACTGTTTTTGGCAATAAACTAAACTAAATCTTTTCTTTCATCCACAGATACGCAATAGGGTTCAAGATGGCTGTTGAATATAATCATTCTCGTACGATAAATTCTTATGTATAATTTATACTTTAATTTAATTATAATTTATTTATTTATTTTGATTTAATTTTTTATTTAACTACTAAATTATTCACTAGAAATTATTTATATGTCAAAACAACATTTGCTGGGTCTGCTAGTTAGACGATAAAATTTTGTCAAATTTGGCCAATATTTGTTATAAAAAACATGCAAACGAAGAATATATCGCAAAAAATGTATTACAATTAATCAAATATATTTATAAATGTAAAAATGACAATATAACACTGAATCAATTAAGATTTCTGAAATCAATTGGCAAGAATTAAATCATCATTCATATTGACAAATCTCCCACCAACAGAAGGCGTTTGTTTCATGGATTTTAAATTTTTGAGTTTATCAGTGTAACATGGAATCCTACTTTTTTTGAGTAATTATAGTGTAAATTTTAATAAATAACTCAAAATTTTACATGATTAAAAAAAATTCGAATTCGAGTTTTTCGTTTTTTTGGATTTCCTGTGAAAATTTGCCATAGTAATGTATACTTTTTTTTAGACCATCAGAAAGTAGAGATTTCAACGAACAAAAAGCACGCCGACTTTTTAAAAGAGCAAATATTTTGACGTGAGAATTTTCGATTGAAAATTAGGGTGGTTTTTCGATATTAAATCAAAATAAGGGGGAAAAATAAATATTTTGAATCAAAAAAATTACAGTGAGTTTGGGACATAACTAGGTAAGTTTTCACCAAATTTCGTGAAAAAAAAACTTTTCTGTGAGAGATAAAAATAAAAAATCAAAAACTCGGTTATTTGCATTTTTCGCATAAATTTTGAGGTTATGTAAAAAAAGTCTAAAAACAAAAGTTGTAGATCGTTTTATTACCTAGAACTTTGCTATTTAACTTTTTTCGATAGGACTTGTAGTTTTGCCGGAAATCGTTATAAACCGTTTTCTACCCTTAAAAGCTCACCCTCTTCCACTTCCCGACCGCAGATCGCCCGTAAATTATTTTTCCTTTTATTTTTGTTATATTTTCTTCCTTTTCCAATGGGTATCATCCTGTTCTAATTTTTTTTTGTTCTCAAAATATCGGCCCTGGCCTATTAGTCAATATGCTTAATGACTAATGTTTCAGGTATTATGCATAATTCCTGTTCCTCTCTTAGTTATTATCAATATTACCTAAACGTTTTCGTTATTGTGCATAATAACTGAAAAATTCAGTTATTACGCATAATTCCTAATATTTCCAGTTATTATGCATAATAACTGACAAGTTTAGTTATTACGCATAATTCCTAAAATATCTAGTTATTATGCATAATAACGTATTTCGGATATTAGCTGTAACATCAACACATGTCGCCGATTTTATTAATATAAAATTATCATGTCCATAGGGCAACTGGCAGCAAGTCAGCGTTCGAGCTTTTAACTAAGTGCTAAAGGTATGTTTCGTTTCGTCACTAAGTCATACGTTAAGCTTCTTTCCGTTCTGTGATCGTCGATATTCTCCCGTTGGGATAAGGTATAAGAATAAAGTGCAGCTTTAACTCGATAACTTATTTTATATTATTTGTTGTAATTATAAACATTCCATATAAACCCAACACATATAAACAATAAACTGTTACAAAAAAAGAACTAAAGCTAAAATCATTTGTACACCTAACAACATCGGATACAGAGTTGATGAGGTAAAAAATAAATAATAGAAAGTCGAGTTAACGTTCATGACAAAAACCAAAACAAACAACGGTAAATATGAAAAATGACAATAAAACGGTGCTATGATCTGTACACAACGGTGATGATATTGTACTGTTCTAATATACTGGTATACGTATGAGGCTTGTTAAGACTAGTAAATTCGCTTCTCACGGATACACACCTTCAGTTCTGCAACAAAAACCGCCATCAGCAAACAAAACGCCGGCTTTTCCACCACCTACCTGCATGGGTGAGAGCTGGGGGTTCCGCTCTAGCTGTAAAATGTGCTGTTGCGCGTGCGTCAGCTGTCTCGTGGCGCTCCCCAGTTGCTCTTCGAGAGCGGCCGCTTCCAGACACTTCACCGACAGCCTCTCCGACAAGTCGAGAATGTCGTCCCTCTGCTGTCTCGCGTACTCCTGCTTGAACTTCGCCACCTCCCTTTGTACTTCCGCTTCGTGCGCCTTCCGCATGGCATCCAGCGCGGCCAACGTCGCTTGGGTCTCCTCGGCGAGAGCTTGCTCCTTCTCCTGGCGCAGCCGCTCCAGCTCCTCGGCGTGCGACTCGCGCATGTCGTGGATGGTCCGCCTATGCCACTGCTCCATCGCCACCAGCACGCGCTCGCACAACACCTGCAGCTGCTCGATGTCGGCCTCTTGGTGGCGCTCCTTGCACGACGCTAAGGCGCAGCGGTAGGCGGCGCGGAGGCTCTCCACTTGCGTCAGGTACTCGGTGCCTAGGTAGACCGGCCGGTGCTCGTCGGACGAATCCAACCTGAAACCCACCACCCATAAACAACCCTCCCTATTTTTTATTTTGTGCGAACTTACCGTCTGAAGGACGGTGATCTCCGCAGCGACCTCCGAACTTCCTCCAGCTTGTCGCGCAGACTCCTGCACTTGGTGCAGACGTCGCTCCAACTCCTCACGGCCGCGTCGTCGTAGTCCACCGGGACGTTCGCGTGCTTCTGCAGCTCCCCGATTTCGTCGGAGAGGTCGTTCAAGTAGCCCAACACCTCCTCGAGCTCGGGCTGGCCCACCAGAGCGTAACAATTCCTACTACACCTATCTATCATACAAGAAAACTCGGCTTCTACACTTTGGTTTATTTGTACCGACTGGTTCTCGAGACAGTCCCAGTAACTGTCGTTCTGCAGCCAATTGTTCAGAGGCTCCGTCGCCGCCAACTGGGTCCCGGAGGCGGCGCACTTGCCGCTTAGCACGTCCATTCGGGCGTCGATGAGCGCCTTGTGGGCCACCACGTCGGCGAACTCCTGGAGGAGGGCGCTCGACGTGCGACCGGCGCGCTCGCTTTCCAACCGCCTGCGCCAATTCTGCCGCTGGAGTTTGTTCAACTGGTTCAGGTAGAGCTGGGTGAGCTCGGAGATGCTCTTGTTCATTTCTTCGTATAAACAATCACCGACGGAGTCGGACCAGAGTTCCAAGGCCGCCCTCTCCGACGCGAAGAACGTGAAGAAGTACGAGTGGTCGGCGTCGATGTGGCCTTGGTAGATCTGGGCGGCTCTTAAAAGAACGTGGTTGATCTCGGATTGTACCAATTCCGAATTAACTACGTCTTTCGCGGTCCGGCTGAAGTCGCTGATGACGTCGTCGCTCAACTTTTTCAAGCGACAGTTCTTGTCGATGGAGAGGGTTTCAGCGGCCAACGTCTCCGCCAACTGCGGGAGTTTGTTGACTTTGTACGTTTCCAACATCGTCTCCAGCTTCTTCTTTTCCCTCTGGAGGTACTCTATGGAGGGGCCGCTTAGTTCGACGAAGTTCCGACAAATGGAGCCGCCGGAGGCGGCCGTCGTCAGACACTTGGCCAAGATCTTCGACAAGTAGTCCGCACTCGTTTTACACAAAGGCGGTTGTTTTTGACCCACTCCGTTCAGTTTCTTCTGTAGAGAGCTCATCAAGTGTGCCGTTTCTTTCACTTCCTTTTGGATGAGTCGTTCGCAGCCCACTTCACCTGTGGCCGGCGTCGTCAACGCCTCTTGTATTCGCCCGATCAAGATATTTTCGTAGGCCACTTTCTCCGCCAAAATCTCCAACTTCGCCTGTCCGTCCAGCTGGTTACTCTCTCTCAAAATCCTCTTCCTCTCGCTCAAACTCCTCAATTTCTCCACTAGGAGGTTCTGCAACTGCTTGACCACGGCGTTCGCCGACGCGTTAATCACCCCCATCTCCGCGTTCGTTACGTTCCCCCCCAAACCGTCGACGATGTCGTTCAGCTCGTTCAGATTTTGTTCGACGGTGGCCAGCGCCGGCGACCTCTTGAAGCTCGTCTTCAGCAAGGATAAACACTCGTCGATTTTCGTCTTCGCCGGGTTGTCCGCACTGCTCGACGCGATGTTGAGGGATTCGTTCGACGCGTTCACGTTCGTCACCTGGTTCTCTAGCGTGCTGAGTCGCATTAGTAGCTTCATCGGCTCCGACGAGGTGGCGCTGTCCAGGCTCTTGCGACGTGGCCTCCGCAACGACTTGTCGTCGATCGGCGAGCTGCGCTCGCTGCTCCTCTCCCTCTTGTACCTCCGACGCGTCCGACTCCTCTCCAACGCCAGGATCTTCGCCTCGAGTTCCGTCACCTTGTCCTCCACTTCTTTGTTAATCGAGAAACTTTCGCGTCCTAATAATAACAAATAAAGTTTTATTATTACTTAGTTAAATAGTGAGAAAGTCACCTTTCAGGGATAAAGACCTCCTCTTGTCTCTTGATTCGCTCTTCGCCTTGCTCCTGATCTGCTTCTCCGCCGCGTTCAGCTTCTGCGTCAGGTGCTCCAGCCGCGACACCAGCAAGCTAATCTCCGCCTGGCTCTCCTGCTTCGCCATCTCCAGGTTGTTCAGCGCGCTGTAGTTGGCCAGCTCCAGGTGGTCGCACTTCTCGTGCGCGTCCCGCAGCTCCCTCTTCACCGCGCGTATCTCCAGCACCGCCTTCTCGAACCTCCCCCTCAAGTCCAAGCAGTACTCCTTCAGCTCGTTCTGGCCCAGCTCGTCGATGTCCGCGTCCAGATCGATGTTGGTCAGATCCGTGAGGGAATCGCATCGGATGCTCCTCTTCCCCGGCCGACCTTCCATCTCCTGCACCCTCCTGAACAGCCTGTCGTTCTCCTCGCGGGAGCGCGCCAGCCGCTCGCTCGTCCCCGCCAGCTCCTCCTGGAGGCTGCTCACCAGCCGCTGCTTGCTCTGGAGCTCGCGCGTCAAGCTACCGCACTTCTCGTCGTAGCTCGCGGCGAGGTCCTCGACTTCTTGCAGCCGCCTCTGGAGGCTGCGCTGCTCCTTCGCGAACTTGAGCTCGGCTTGGGAGTTTCTTTGGTTTAGTTCGCGTTCGGTGCGCTCGAAGGCCAACATCGTGTCTTTGGCCTTCTTCTCTTGAGCCACTGCCTCAGCTTGAAATTTCTTCAACCTACGACTCAAACCGTCAGAAAATCATCGACGATTGTCTAGAACTCACCTGGCAATTTCCTCCTCCAGACACCTCACTTCTTCCGCAGACTTCGCCAGCTGCTTCTGAAGGTCGCTGATTTCGACATTCTGCTTGTTGATTTCGTTGTTCAGCTCCACGCTTTCGGATAGTTTGACGCAGTCCAGTTCGTCGGTGGACGTGCTGTCGAGGGTGGACTGTCGCGATTGGCACCGGGGTAACTTCGGCCGCATCCTCATCACTTTGCTTCGGCTGAGGGAGGTCCTGGTGAGAGGCGGCGACGGCGGCAGCTCGCTCCAGTCTTCCGAGCCGCGTCTGCCGCCTTCCGACGCCGTCCGATACTCTTCGTCGCTGGACAAGAGCACGGATCTCGGCGTCGCGGGGCTTTCCGAAGACGACGCCGGGACCGCCTTCTTCAGGGCTTGCAGCCAATTCGAGCGTATGCCGGACGTCACGGCGTACAACGTGAGCGTCGAACCTCCCCATTTGATCTCGAAGCCGAACTTCGTTTCCGTGGGTATCTCGTTGTATCCGGTCACCGTTGACATCTCGACGACGATCTCCGGGGTACTTTGTTCGTCTTGGTCTTGGTAGATGGTGAGGGTGGGGCCGCAGAGGACCGCCCAGCGCATGACGAAGTCGCCGTCGGGCGTCTTCAACCACAGCCAGCCCTATAAAGGGTGAATTAAGAAATGACAGCAAAGAAGAGCATGACCAACTAAGATCTAGCGTCCGGTTGTTGAAATTGATTGTCCTAACCTCAAAAATTCGTTTACTCTACTTGGTTTAAGAAAATTACAGTAGATAGCGCCAGTTACCTAACGAATTTTTGAGGTTATCAGAATCAATTAAATAAAAATACTCCTTGGGAGTGCAGCGGTTGCTGTTGACGCAGCCCCCAGCAAATTGAAACATTCGAATTGCCTACTCAGCCTACTATCAAGATTGATTTATAAACTTGTCTCTGACGTTGCCGTTGATGTTGGGTTTTCAACCAATCAAATTGAAGGAAAATCCACTGAAGTAGGTCATTTTTCTGGTTGACAGCACTAATTCCACGAAAATCAAATTTTCATAGATAATGTTAACCACCTGTTCGCCGAAACCCTCATATTTTAAATAGCTGCCATCATTTTCTACATTGGATATTTCTGTCAGCACTTATGCATTGCTAAAGATAGTTCTCAACAAAATTTATTGATATTCGTCTCAAACACAGATTAGGTATTATAACTACAAGGGTTTACATTTTGCCCTCTTTTCTTAGTATGTGTAGTCTTCTTTTCACAACAAGAAAGGTAAAACATGTTTAAAATGGTAAGTTTTTGTAGGAAAGTATTCATTTTGCAATTAGGCTCCGCCCCTAAGTCTGACAACGAATGAAAAATTCATCACAATTGAGTTTGGGATGGATATGAGTGGAGCTTAATTTTTTGCTTGTTTTTTTTCTCTTAACATACTTATTAGTATTCTTTGAACAACACGAAACCCAAAAACATGTTTTTATTTCTTGAAGAAAAATAAGGATTTTGTAATTAAGCTCCGCCCCCTCGGCTCACGACGAATAAAAAAATCATCACAATTGTGATAGGGTAGTTGGGTGAGACTTACATTTTGTTCCAAATTCTACCCAAAAAAGGCACCAGGAATCCCAAACTTGTTTCAAATTCTACAAAGAAAAAACCTTCAAGAGCCCTAGATTAAAAACCCCAAACGCCCCCAGAAAAACACCTTCAGAGGCTCCCAGATTTTTTCAAATGCTACCAAGATACAAAAAAACCTTCAAGGGGCCCCAAATTCTACCCAAAATAGACACCAAGGCCGCCAAACTTGTTTCAAATTCTACCAAGAAAAACCTTCAAGGGTCTCCAGATTGTTTCAAATTCTAGCAAGAAAAAACCTTCAAGAGGCCTTAAATTATTCCAAATTCTCCCCAAAAAAAAAAAACTTCAGTCCCCAGATTATTTCAAATTCTTCAAAGAAAAAAAAAACCTTCAGGGACTCCTAGAAAAACCTTCAAGGGGCCCCAAATTCTATCCAAAAAAGACACCAAGGCCCTCAAATTCTACCAAAAGAAAAAAACCTTCAAGAGGCCTTAGATTATTCCAAATTCTTCCAAAAAAAATTTCAGATTCCCCAGATTATTTCAAATTCTTAAAAAAAAAAACCTTCAGAGGCTCCCAGAAAAACCTTCAAGGGGCCCCAAAATGTACCCAAAAAAAGACACCAAGGCCCTCAAAATTGTTTCAAATTCTACCAAGACAAAAACCCTCAAAAGGCCTTAGATTATTCCAAATTCTTCTAAAAAAAACTTTAGTCCTCAGATTATTTAAAATTCTTCAAAAAAAAAAACCTTCAGGGGCTCCTAGAAAAACCTTTAAGGGGCCCCAAACTCTACCCAAAAAAAGACACCAAGGCCCTCAAAGTTGTTTCAAATTCTACCAAGAAAAAAATCTTCAAGGGCTTCCAGATTGTTTCAAATTCTACCAAGAAAAAACCTTCAAGGGGCCTTAGATTATTCCAAATTCTTCCAAAAAAAAAAAAAAAATCTTCAGAGTCCCCAGATTATTTCAAAGTCTTAAAACAAAAAACAACCCTTCAGGGGCTGCCAGGGGCCCCAAATTGTACCAAATTCTACCCAAAAAAAGACACCAAAGCCATCAAAGTTGTTTCAAATTCTACCAAGAAAAACCTTCAAGGGTCTCCAGATTGTTTCAAATTCTAGCAAGAAAAAAACCTTCAAGAGGCATTAAATTATTCCAAATTCTCCCAAAAAAAACCTTCAGTCCCCAGATTATTTAAAATTCTTCAAAAAAAAAAAAACCTTCAGGGACTCCCAGAAAAACCTTTAAGGGGCCCCAAATTCTACCCAAAAAAAGACACCAAGGCCCTCAAAGTTGTTTCAAATTCTACCAAGAAAAAAATCTTCAAGGGCTTTCAGATTGTTGCAAATTCTACCAAGAAAAAACCTTCAAGGGGCCTTAGATTATTCCAAATTCTTCCAAAAAAAAAAAAAATCTTCAGAGTCCCCAGATTATTTCAAAGTCTTAAAAAAAAAAACAACCCTTCAGGGGCTGCCAGGGGCCCCAAATTGTACCAAATTCTACCCAAAAAAGACACCAAAGCCATCAAAGTTGTTTCAAATTCTACCAAGAAAAACCTTCAAGGGTCTCCAGATTGTTTCAAATTCTAGCAAGAAAAAAACCTTCAAGAGGCATTAAATTATTCCAAATTCTCCCAAAAAAAAACTTCAGTCCCCAGATTATTTAAAATAATTAAAAAAAAAAACCTTCAGGGGCTACCAGAAAAACCTTTAAGGGGCTCCAAATTCTACCCAAAATAAGACACCAAGGCCCTCAAAGTTGTTTCAAATTCTACCAAGAAAGAAATCTTCAAGGGCTTCCAGATTGTTTCAAATTCTACCAAGAAAAAACGTTCAAGGGGCCTTAGATTATTCCAAATTCTTCCAAAAAAAAAAAAAAAAAACTTCAGAGTCCCCAGATTATTTCAAAGTCTTAAAAAAAAACAGCCTTCAGGGGCTGCCAGGGGCCCCAAATTCTACCCAATTCTACCCAAAAAAAGACACCAAAGCCCTCAAAGTTGTTTCAAATTCTACCAAAGAAAAAAACCTTCAAGGGGTTCCAGATTATTCCAAATTCTTCAAAAAAAAAAAAAAAAAGAAAGAAAAAAAACCCAGAGGTCGCAAATTTTCCATTTTAAACATGGTTTAAGTTTGATGTTCTGAAACGAACAAAAAGAAAAAAAATGTAAGCCCGCCCATGTCTCAATTTGTGATGATTTCTTTTATTCGCCGTCAACCAAGGGGGCGGAGCTTAATTGCAAAATACTTATTTCTTTACAAAAAATTAAAAACACGTTTTTGAGTATCGTGTTGTTCAAAGAAAACTATGTATATTAAGAAAAACAATCAAAATACAAAGCCCGCCCACCCACCCCATCTCAATTGTGACACGTTTAAAATGGTAACTTTTTGTAAAGAAATATGGATTTTGCAATTAGGCTCCGCCCCTAGGTCTCCCAACAAATGAAAACTTCATTATTATTTAGATCAAGGTAGGTATGGGTGGGGCTTAATCTTTGGCTTCAATTTTTTCTTAATATACATCGTATTTTTTTAATAACACGATACTCAAAAACATGTCTTACATGGTAACTCCTTGTAGAGAAATAATAACGATTTTGCAATTAAATTCCGTTCCTTTGGCTCTCGACGATTAAAAAAAAGATCACAATAGAGATAGGGCGGGTGGGTGGGGCTAATATATGCCTTTTTTCTTAATATACGTTGTCGTCTTTTCAGAGCAAGAAACATAAAACATATTTAAAAATGGTAAATTCTTTAGACAAATACGGACCTTGCAATTAAGCCCCCCCCCCTCGATCTGACAACGAATGAATAATCCATCACATGGGAGGGGCCTAATCTTTGGCTTGATTTTTTTCTTAATATACATAATATTCTTTGAACAATGCGATACTCAAAAACATGTTTTTAATTTCTCGTTGAGAAATGAGGATTTTGCAGTTAAGTTCAGCCCCATTAAGATAGGGTGGGGGGGCGGGGCAGCTACATTGTTCCTTTTTTTCTTAATATGTGTAGACTTATTTCGACAACAAGAAACTTGAAAAAGATGTCTAAAATGGCAAATTTTTATAGTAATTAACTTAAATCCTCCACTTTTCTTCTACAACCCTTTTAAATAGGGCAAAAGTTGAACATCAAAGTTACTATCAATGGCAAGTTGGTAAAGGACAATTTTCAGCCTTAAAAGCAACGTCAATAGCAAGTTTATTAATTTTACTTCATTCACAAACAGCAATCGCTACTGCTGCGGATGAGTTTATAAATTCAGCTTTAGTTGGCCATGAGAGGAGTAAACCGTGTCGCCACCTATCCACTAGTAGCTTACTTTCTTGAGATGCAGGAGGCTCTCGGCTGGTAGCGCCAGGCTGGATTCCGGGGAGCGGTCCGTCAAGGCCGTCGCGATGTCCCTGAGACGCTCGTTCCTCCAGTCTCGGCGGGCTCGGGCCTTGTCGTCGCAGCGGAGTTTGTCCCGAGTCGGGGGCGAGCCGGAACTCATCAGGTAGTCTGAAGATCGAAAAATAAAAAAAATTGTGGGTCTTCGGAGAGAGACTGCGGATTCTTCGGTAGCGCGCGCGGGCGCGCGGGTCCGGATCGGATTTTTTTGTCCGTTTCTAGCCCACACCGAAGAGGCGTCAAATCGCGAGTCATCGTGCCGGGACTGCCTCAAGGGAAACCCACTAACATTTCGCGTCTAACTGTACATCTCGAAGAACCGTCGATTAATCAGGACGCCTCATTGTTGCACGAAATAAGTCGGGTTTTGTCTTTTTTCTCGGCGTTCGACGTAAACTAGCGGTAAGTGACGTTTCCATTTCGCTAACCAACATTACGTTTCGTCCGGTGGCGCCGTTATGCGCTCGAAAATCGCACGTAATCGATCAAAGCTGACCCTCCGAGGCGGTTTTCCGCGAAACGTGACCGAAAAACTCAGATGATCTTCCGAAATTACAGCCGATCCGAGCAAATATTGTAGGTTATTACTCTCGTGCGCGGGTCATGTGTGCGCGGCACTTTCGGGGTCGCTCAAGGTGGGCGGCATGTGCGACTTTCGTCCTCCCATTCATCGAGCGACCAACTCGCCGATCGCAAAAATACAAACGTGTTAGACTACTCCAGGTGCTGGAGATGGCCATTTTTGCGCTGGCGAACCGGAGCTCATCCCTGCGCAAACCGGTAAGCATTGGATCAGAAGGAGCGACCACGCAGAGCCCACCGTACGCGACCAAATACGATCAGATAAGCGCTATTAAGGTAATAGTCCTTCGAGATCGACTCTAATTGACCTACTGGCGAAACGAGGCCGTCTGCTCGCCGACGCCGACGGGGTGAAGCGGCCCCGCGTTGGGCGCCACCGAAAACCCGACTAGGAGTACTTACCGTTCCTTATGGAGCTAGGCGCGGCCTCGATGGGCACGTTCCCGGTGGGCTCGGGCAGCCAGTCGGGCCTGGGCTGCTCGTCCTTCGGGGGCGACTCGCGCTCCTCCTTCAGCGGCGGCGTCTCGAAGTTGGTCCTGGGGCTGGGGCCGCTGCACGAGAGGTGCCTCGGGCGCGGGGGCTGCGGGGACGCGCTCCGCCCCAGCTGGGGCAGACTCGGCGACGCCCTACCGCCGGGGAAGGTGGCGTTGCGCTTGTGGCGCCTGGGGAACACCGCCAGCAGCTCGGCCCACCAGCGGGCGTCTTCGCGGCTGGCCGCCTTGACGAAGGTGACCCGGTCCGGGCTGGTGAGGGCCAAGGAGTGAGGATGACCGGTCACCTGCTCGGCGCCCGTCACCTCGAGCACCTTGGACATGTCGACCGAGCCCTGGGGGATGGTGTCCGGCTGCAAATAAAACACAACGAAGGTTAAAATTTTGATTGACACGCTTCTTTTATTTTCGAGTGTCCGCGTTCTCCGTCGTCACGGTCATTCAGTCGTCGTCTTCGTTCCGCGTACAAACAGGTGTAAAAATCTCACCCATTCACTTCCTTCACATTCTGCTTCCTCGTTCTCGACCCGTCCCGTCCCGCATCGTCGCCTCCGTTTCAGTAACACAACAACAACACCGTGCAAACGTATTAAAACATCAATAGACTGCTCGTTTTCATATTTTATTCATGGCGGCGTTTCTATGCCGGTCCGTAACGGGGCGGTTTTTGTCCCACGATCGACAGCGCCGACGATACGTGTGAGAAAGGAAGCGAGAGATCAATTTGCGAGTGCATCGTCCACGCACTCCGAAGAAAGTCAACAACCCGAACGGGCGCCGTTTTGCATATCACAAGCGCCACCGAACCCCCGTTGGGCGCCGAAATCACCTGTCGGGCGCCCTCCGTCGGTCGTTGACCGGACGAAAACTGTCGCCGGTGAAAGTTCTGTTCTTCCGCTCATCGTAAATTTTTTTTTGCCTTCGGAAGGGCACACAGACTTCCTCTCACTTCCGATCGACGGCTTTTTACGAAACGATCGCTCCTCGGGTCGTCGAACTCGTCTATAATTATATAATTGCGGCATGTCGCTGATGGGAGTTTTAGTAGGTCATTCACGTTTGATGAAAGCAACAATTATTACCGGCGACGACGTTTCGGAATCTCCGTTTTTTAATCGAAGAGGGTGCGCGTACTTACGTGTTCGTCCACCGAGTAGTTGAGCTCCCCGTCGTCGTACAAGACGAACCATCTCCTCTGCCATCTCTGCAACAAAAAAACCAAACGTGAAAACACTTGAAGTTAAAGCTTGTTATTATTGCTGAGGGGTCATTTTTCCCGTTGGTCATCTAATTTTACAATTAACTTAAATAAATTTCGACCACTCTTTATCCTTTATGGTTGAGTTAATTCGGAAGGCGCCTTTTAGGGAAGTGTGTCAAAAGGAAACACCGTAACACATCGGCTGGAGACCGCACCTTGTCGATTTAGGCCGTATCGCGGCGGCTTTTTCGAATCTTCGATCTCTGCTCGCAATTAGCGTTGATTAATCGATTCGACCTCGGCGTCTTTCCTTCGCTATCGCCGCCATCGATCATAATCCGCTTGACGTGTGCAAAAACATACAAAAAGCTGCGGTTTCTAAGCCGCTTATCGCCAACAATGGGGTGCACCCCTTCCTTAACCCAGTTAGATCGGAGGTCGGTCGTCCAAATAATCGTCCGTCGACACCGCAATTTCCCTTACGCACAATTAAATAACGGGCACTTTCACTAGCGGAAGCGCACCGAACTGCGTTCGCGCGCAAGCGCCGACACACCACCCGGCCGTAAATCAAAACAACAACGAAAAAGCTGATAACTCGTCGAGTTAATTGGGGAATTTATCACGGCAATAAAGTTGTTAGATGCGAAGCGGCGACCGCTACAAAGTCGACGACCAATTAGATTTCTTTATGGTAATGACCGGCGATTAGAGAGATAGTACCACCACCGGGGTCGGATTTTCGCGGAGTACCACCGCGGCTTTCTCGTACTACTCGACGCACGATTTAATGATTTAAATCAATGGAAACCGGCCGTTTATGGCCAACGTGGCGATAAACGAAGGCCAGAATGGAGAGGTTCTTTTCGTTTTTGGATGGGTTTTTTCTGGTTGGGTGAATGAAGCACGTGGGATGCTGCGGAGCGCGGTCGTACCGGCTGACGAGAGATTTCCTGTGTTGGTTTCTTAGCTTTGTCGGGGAAAACGATCGGCGGTACTTAGGTACAGGAAACTCTAATCGTGTAGCTGGTACTGAAAAACCGTTTTGGGTCATGTTTGTTTTGTACATAGACGAAGTGGTTTCTCGTGTTGCATTATCTGCTGGTTGGGTTATCGGCGGGCGTTGTGGTACTATCGTCGGGGATGGAGTGTAATGTCCACGATTGACAAACAAGTGCTCATTATGAATCAGAAAATAAAGGTTTTTAAAATTTTTTCACTTCAAAAATAAATAACTTTTGGGTGTTTTTTTTCAAGAATTTGAATTTTATGGGCATCCCTAGTGTGTTGTTTTTGGAAGAATATGAAAAAATGTTGAGGGCCGCGGTGTCTATTTAGGGTAGAATTTGGAACTATTTGGGATCCCTAAAGATTTTTTTTATGGAAGAATTTGGAATAATCTGGGGCTTCTTGAAGGCTTTTTCTTGGTAGAATTTGAAACAACTTTGGGAGCCCTGGTGTCTTTTTGGGTGGAATTTGGAACAATCTGGGACCCCTGAAGGTTTTTTTTTGGAAGAATTTGGAATAATCTGGGCGCCCTTGAAGGTTTTTTCTTTGTAGAATTTGAAACAATCTGGGAGCCTTTGAAGGTTTTTTATTGGAAGAATTTGGAAGAATCTGGGACTCCTTGAAGGTTTTTTTCTTGGTAGAATTTGGAACAATCTGAGAGCCCCTGAAGGTTTTTTTTGGAAAGAATTTGGAATAATCTGGAGACCCTTGAAGGTTTTTTCTTGGTAGAAATAGAAACAATTTTAGATTCCCTGGTTTCTTTTTGTGGGTAGAATTTGGAATAATATGGGTGCAGGTTTCCTTTTTTTTTTGATAAATTTGGAGACCCTTGAAGGTTTTTTTTCTTGGTAGAATTTGGAACAACTTTGGGGGCTCAAGTGTCTTTTTTTGGGTAGAATTTGGAACAATCTGGAAATCCGGAAGGTTTTTTTCTTGGTAGAATTTGAAACAACTTTGGGGGCCCTGGTGTCTTTTTTGGGTAAAATTTGGAACAATCTGGGACCCCTAAAGCTTTTTTTTGGAAGAATTTCGAATAATTTGGGAGCTCTTGAAGGTTTTTTCCTTAGTAGAATTTGAACCAACTTCGGGGGCCTTGGTGCCTTTTATTGGGTAGAATTCCTGAAGGTTTTTTTTTTAAAGAATTTGGGACAATTTGGGAACTCCTGAAGGTTTTTTTTTTGAAGAATTTGCAGTAATCTGGGAACCATTGAAGGTGTTTTTCTTGGTAGCATTTGAAACAATCTGGGAGCCTCTGAAGGTTTTTTTAAAGAATTTGGAATAATCTGGGACCCCTTGAAGGTTTTTTTCTTGGTAGAATTTGAAACAATCTGGGAGCCCCTCAAAGTTTTTTTTTTGAAGAATTTTTTCTTGGTAGAATTTGAAACAATCCGTGAGCCCCTGAAGGTCCTAGGGACCTTTGGATTTTTTTTTCTTAATAGAATTTGAAATAACTTTTAGGAGTCCGGGTGTCTTTTTTGGCTAAAATTTGCAGCAACCTGGGACACCTGAAGGTTTTTTTTTTGAAGAACTGGGAATAATTTGCGGACCTTTGAACGTTTTTTTCTTAGTAGAATTTGAACCAACTTCGGAGGCCTTGGTGCCTTTTACTGAGTAGAATTCCTGAAGGTTTTTTTTTTTTGAATAATTTGGAACAATCTGGGAACTCCTGAAGGTTTTTTTTTGAAGAATTTGAAACAATCTGGGAGCCCCTGAAGGTTTTTTTTTTGAAGAATTTGGAATAATATGGGGACCCTTGAAGCTGTTTTTCTTGGTAGCATTTGAGACAATCCGGGAGCCTCTGAAGGTTTTTTTTTGAAGAATTTTCAATAACCTGGGGCCTCTTGAAGGTTTTTTTCTTGTTAGAACTTGAAACAATCTGGGAGCCCCTGAAGGTTTTTTTTAAGAATTTGGAATAATCTGGGGCCCCTTGAAGGTTTTTTTCTAGGTAGAATTTGAAGCAATCTGGGAGCCCCTGAAGGTTTTTTTTTATTTTTGAAGAATTTGGAATAATATGGGGACCTTTGAAGCTGTTTTTCTTGGTAGTATTTGAGACAATCCGGGAGCTTCTGAAGGTTTTTTTTTTGAAGAATTTTCAATAACCTGGGGCCTCTTGAAGGCTTTTTTCTTGTTAGAATTTGAAACAATCTGGGAGCCCCTGAAGGTTTTTTTAAAGAATTTGGAATAATCTGGGGCCCCTTGAAGGTTTTTTTCTAGGTAGAATTTGAAACAATCTGGAAGCCCCTGAAAGTTTTTTCTTTTTTTTGAAGAATTTTGAATAATATGGGGACCCTTGAAGCTGTTTTTCTTGGTAGCATTTGAGACAATCTGGGGACCCTTGAAGGTTTTTTTCTTGGTAGAATTTGAAACAATCCGTGAGCCCCTGAAGGTTTTTTTTTTGAAGAATTTGGAATAATTTACGGGCCTTTGAAGGTTTCTTTCTTAGTAGATTTTGAACCAACGTCGGGGGCCTTGGTGCCTTTTATTGGGTAGAATTCCTGAAGGTTTTTTTTTTAAGAATTTACAATAATCTGGGGCCTCTTGAAGGTTTTTTTCTTGGTAGAATTTGAAACAAGTTTGGGGGCCTTGGTGTTTTTTTCTGGGTAGAACTTGGAGTAATCTGGGAATCTCCAAAGTTTTTTTTTTTAATAATTTGGGACAATCTGGGATCCCCTGAAAGTTTTTTTTTTTAAAGAATTTTGAATAATCGGGGGTCTCTTGAAGGTTTTTTTCTTGGTAGAATTTGGAATCATCTGGGGACCCTTGAAGGTTTTTTCTTGGTAGGATTCCTGAAGGTTTCTTCTTGGTAGAATTTGAAACAACTTTTTGGGGATCCTGGTGTCTTTTTTGGGTAGAATTTGGAACAATCTGGGACCCTTGAAGGATTTTTTTTTAGAAGAATTTGGAATAATATGGAGACCCTTGAAGATTTTTTTTCTTGGTAGCAGTAGATACAATCTGGGAGCCTCTGAAGGTTTTTTTTTTTTGAAGAATTTGGAATCATCTAGGGACCCCTGGTGTCTTTTTTGGGTAGAATTCCTAAAGGTGTTTTTTTGGAAGAATCTGGGGCCTCTTGAAGGTTTTTTTTTTGGTACAATTTGAAACAAGTTTGGGGGCCCTGGTGTTTTTTTCTGGGTAGAATTTGGAGTAATCTGGGAACCTCCAAAGGTTTTTTTTTTTTGAATAATTTGGGACAATCTGAAAACCCCTGAACGTTTTTTTTGAAGAATTTTGAATAATCGGGGGACCCTTGAAGGATATTTTTTTTAGAAGAATTTGGAATAATATGGAGACCCTTGAAGATTTTTTTCTTGGTAGCATTTGATACAATCTCGGAGCCTCTGAAGGTTTTTTTTTTTTTTTTGAAGAATTTGGAATAATCTAGGGACCTCTGGTGTCTTTTTTGGGTAGAATTCCTAAAGGTTTTTTTGGAAGAATCTGGGGCCTCTTGAAGGTTTTTTTCTTGGTAGAATTTGAAACAAGTTTGGGAGCCCTTGTGTTTTTTTCTGGGTAGAATTTGTAGTAATCTGGGAACCTCCAAAGGTTTTTTTTTTAATAATTTGGGACAATCTGGAAACCCCTGAAAGTTTTTTTTTTGAAGAATTTTGAATAATCGGGGGCCTCTTGAAGGTTTTTTCTTGGTAGAATTTGGAATCATCTGGGGACCCTTGAAGGTTTTTTTCTTGGTAGAATTCCTGAAGGTTTCTTCTTGGTAGAATTTGAAACAACTTTTTGGGGATCCTGGTGTCCTTTTTGGGTAGAATTTGGAACAATCTGGGACCCTTGAAGGATTTTTTTTTAGAAGAATTTGGAATAATATGGAGACCCTTGAAGATTTTTTTCTTGGTACCATTTGATACAATCTGGGAGCCTCTGAAGGTTTTTTTTTTTGAAGAATTTGGAATAATCTAAGGACCCCTGGTGTCTTTTTTGGGTAGAATTCCTGAAGGTTTTTTTTGGAAGAATCTGGGGCTCCTTGAAGGTTTTTTCTTGGTAGA